ATACCTCAATTTGTTGAATTATTAGAGCAATACCCATAGCCTGCACAGTCATAGCTGCTAAGATCCAGACGTCATGACTTCGTAACAAGCATAGTGTAGATCTACATGTACGCAGAGTTTTGCGGACTACCCATCACTATCTTGTCCGCCCCGGGATACCTGATAAAGGCTGATTCACTCGCATCTTCCGCTACATGTACTGTATATCAGGGTGAGAAAGAACTTTGAGAAGACGTAACGAGTTCGAGCACACAAACAGTACTGATGATGTATTTCCATGATTTCTACCCTGCTTTTCATTGAAAACACTATCTGCATGACCTCCGAACCCTTTGCCATGCAGACCACCAGCACTGATCAGGTGCATTGTACACAACTTACTTGTGTAGCCTACATACTAGAACTGTGATACCAGGCAATCATGCAGTTATTCTCCTACCTCCGAAAGGATGCCAAATTATGCTCCAAATTTTCAACCACCCAATTATGCCAATAATTATGCAGGCATAATCCTCCGGTGCCTACTAATGTCATAAAATGGCTGTGAATAGTCTAATGAGTAAATAATGTAGACGCACCTTCCGGTTAATATCGACCTACTTTACAAGTAGGGATGGTCTGTAGTTTTGGCCGGCTTTCCAAGTAACACGTTAGTTGCGCTATTGCAAATAATGATCTGCTTTGATAATAGTGACTGCTAATGATTGCCTGGGTGTGACTTTGGATTTTTCTTTAATCATCTTTCCGATCACATTATCATGGATTTTCAAAAACGTTCTTTGAGTACCAGGGAGTCGTAAAATACCGATATTTTACGACTCCCTGCTGCTATTACAGTAGGTAGTAGTACTAGTAGTAGTAGTAGTAGTAGTAGTAGTTTTTTTTTTTTTTTTTTTTTTTTGTCACACGGAAAACTGAGCCTCTTGTACGGGCAAAATAACACTTTTTGTGAAGAATCAACACACAAAAAACGAATCATCAGATACAGTATTTACAGAGTCTGTCACTCAGTAGGATCACTGCACTGTGCAGGTTCACTGGATGCGTGCCTCCGCCGCCACTAGCACAGCAGGGGACTCAGGCATGGCAGGAGCAAACATGCTCCTTGAGCCACGCAGGCACATAGCACCACAACGCACCAGGGCAAACCCAAGGCGGCAGCGCAGCAAGGAGATAACCTGCCCGTATGGCTCCTTACTCTTCTCAGCCAGGAGAGAGGCGATCCGCGTGAAAAGAGCATTGGCATGCTTGCCATAGCCACCAGAGGCAGAGAGCACAACGGGCACGAAGGAGGCATGCTCAACTTCACGTACTCGCTCCTCGTACTTCCGGCGCTTTTCCTGTTCATGGCGTCTGTAGCTAGCAGCGAGGGAGGTGGCACGATTCGAAGACGCAAAAGGGTTGAACACCCGTACATCAATAAAGATGCGCTCGAATCGGCCACCCCACACACCACTAGCCGCAACGTCCAGCCGAGCTTGCTCCTCCGTGACAGCTGTGCGATGGCGGAAGGCCTCTCCGGTGACGGGCTGGAGGTGGGGTTCCACTGTCACGTTGTGAGCGACCTGCCTCAGAGCTCTGGCGGTGATGTCCCTCACCTCGTTGTGTCGCAGCGTCGGGAAGCCACCAAACGGGCACGACAGGGCGTGACTCACATTCAGCGGCTTACTGCACACGCAGAGGCTTGGGAGCCGAGGAGGTGTCCAGCCGTACCGGAGGCACAGGCCATCCCGGAAATCTCCCTTGCTGAGTGTGAAACCATGGCGGCTGAGGGGGCGGCAGGTCAGCCAGCTGGATGCACCCTTTTCTGAGGCCAGGTCGAGAACAGGGGCCAGCTCCCGGTGATCCGAGCGAAGAGCGTCAGCCATAGACTTGAACGCGCTCCGCTTCTCGGCCCGAACCGTCGCCTTGACCGTCCGGAGCTGAGTCAGAGAGTCGCCAAGAGACGACTCCTGCTCCAGCAGGCGAGACACGAGGCTAGCCGTGATCCTTCGGGATGAGGTGTACTGTTCAGCCACTGAACAAGGGTCTGCCATACCCAGTCCTCCAAGCCGGCAAGGCAGAGAGAGTAGGGAGCGAACAGTTGTCCCAGGTGGAGCCTGACCCGTGATGGCCGGGATGAGCCGACCGCTGATTGCGTGTTCCGGTAGTAGTAGTAGTAGTAGTAGTAGTAGTAGTAGTAGTAGTAGTAGTAGTAGTAGTAGTAGTAGTAGTAGTAGTAGTAGTAGTAGTAGTAGTAGTAGTAGTAGTAGTAGTAGTCACATCCTTTATTGCCGAACCCACAAACAATTGTGATACAAATTGTAAACCATCCGTAGTAGTAGTAGTAGTAGTAGTAGTAGTAGTAGTAGTAGTAGTAGTAGTAGTAGTAGTAGTAGTAGTAGTAGTAGTAGTAGTAGTACAGTAGTAGTAGTAGTAGTAGTAGTAGTAGTAGTAGTAGTAGTAGTAGTAGTAGTAGTAGTAGTAGTAGTAGTAGTAGTAGTAGTAGTAGTAGTAGTAGTAGTAGTAGTAGTAGTAGTAGTAGTAGTAGTAGTAGTAGTAGTAGTAGTAGTAGTAGTAGTAGTAGTAGTAGTAGTAGTAGTAGTAGTAGTAGTAGTAGTAGTAGTAGTAGTAGTAGTAGTAGTAGTAGTAGTAGTAGTAGTAGTAGTAGTAGTAGTAGTAGTAGTAGTAGTAGTAGTAGTAGTAGTAGTAGTAGTAGTAGTAGTAGTAGTAGTAGTAGTAGTAGTAGTAGTAGTAGTAGTAGTAGTAGTAGTAGTAGTAGTAGTAGTAGTAGTAGTAGTAGTAGTAGTAGTAGTAGTAGTAGTAGTAGTAGTAGTAGTAGTAGTAGTAGTCACATCCTTTATTGCTGAACCCACAAATAATTGTGATACAAATTGTAAACCATCCGAGGAAGAAGAGAAAGCCATTAAAAATAAAAAAAATAAAACAAAAAAAGGTTATTGTACCATGCCAAACGGCTATTATTAAGTCATGTACCAATTGTAATACATGACGTAGTATAGTAGTCAAGCACCTACAAAATACTTTGCAGGATAATATTTAAATTGCCTAGCATGCCTACAAATCCGCAGAGCATGCCAATGTTAAATAGGCCAACATATGAATACCGAAGGCGGTTACATGGACAGAAGGCGACATTGGTCGAGAAAAGATGGGCCTATTCTCTTCCTCAAGTAAGACGCTCTGCAACCACGGAGGCACGTGATTGACCACCTCAGCAAAACAAATGCAATTTTGCAGCGTAGCTGTGCCATCACAACAGCATACTGGAGGTCACTATGCTTGTTTACCACCAGCTGAACAATGTTCTTCAATGCACGAGAGCACTCCGTGCCACATACGCCGTTTGTCGAGAATACGAGCGGAGTGAATGACCCCCTCTCGACATCGACAACACGCTGAAGATAGGCCCGCTTCTTCTGATGTTCATTCCGGGAAATCTGTGCAAGGACTTCCTGTCGCGACAGCAAAGACGCCGAGGGGTGAGTAACCCTCACATCAAAGAATGCATCTTGCTGTGGCGACCAAAAGCCCCTTGCACGGATATCCAATCGAGCCTCTGCAGCGCGATTAGCGGTAGCGCCGTGAAGTTGTTCACCATCCAACGGCAAAAGCGGTGGCTCTGTCTGAACATCCGGGATGGCAGAAGTCATCACCTCCACCAGCACATCACGAAGCTCATTGTGTCGCAGACTTGGGTAGCCCCCTGTAGGGCATGTCAATGCATGGTCGACAGACATGTCTCTACCACACACACAAGTTGGTGGGAGGCCATCAATACCCCAGCCATAGCGCAGGGCGAGACCATCCCGGAAACATGCTTTATTTAGCGCAAAGCCGTTCACAGCCAGAGGCTCAGCCGTTAGCCAACTGGACACGCCAGCATCAGCAGCAATCTCCAACAGCACTCGCTGACATGGGCTGAGCTCTGGACGCAAAGCAACCTGAGCCTCCTTAGCCGCAGTAGCCATTCTCCGACGTTCGGCATTTCGCAACGCTATTACCTCCGCCTGCAAATCAGCCGGAGCAATGTCAGCATCAGGGCGACGAAGCAAATCAATCACCGGCCGTGCCGAGGCCATACTGGAGGTCCACTGATGCACTGCATGGGGCCCAATGGCAGGAATTGAGAGACCACCGGACTTAACAGGCAAGCCGATGAGACTCCGCTCAATGGCGGACATGTTCTTCCGACCAGTGATTGCTGGTATCAAACTGTTGTCAATCACATTATCTAGCCTGCCGAAAGCATCCGGCTCCGGCAAGCCATGTGAGGACATATGATAGCGCCAACGCGACCTCAATCCACGGGAGAAAACAGAATATGCAGCATGTGGCTGGGTTTCCGCCAGAGTGGAGAGAGTACCGACCTCCCTGCACCATACGGAAACATGACGACACAGACTCTCCTGTACAAATTCCTCCTCACCAATGGCCCCACCAAGATAACGAACACCATTGGTCAGCACACGTATACCCGTTGGGTCGAACAGCTCTCGGGCTTCTGACTCCAGGGCGGGTTTCACCAGCAGAACTGTCTTGGCTGCATTAGGGTAATATCCATACTTCGGGCCAATCTCCTCGATTGATTTCCAAAACGAATGCACGGCCGCCAATCTGCCACCAGACTCGCCATCATCCGCGTACCAGCATTGGTTCACATCAGGGTGCTGTTCACGGAGTTTACAAATTTAGTAGTACAGTCAACTTCGCTTATAACGACACTCCGCCGGGTATCAGAAAAGTGTCCTTATTCGCGAAGTGTCGTTATACCCGAAGTCTCATTATAATGTACACAGGTAGTATGGACTTTGCTCTGGGCATGGAAATTCTGTCGTTATTCGCGAATTGTCGTTATATCCGCAGTCGTTATTAGCGAAGTTGACTGTAGTAGTAGTAGTAGTAGTAGTAGTAGTAGTAGTAGTAGTAGTAGTAGTAGTAGTAGTAGTAGTAGTAGTAGTAGTAGTAGTAGTAGTAGTAGTAGTAGTAGTAGTAGTAGTAGTAGTAGTAGTAGTAGTAGTAGTAGTAGTAGTAGTAGTAGTAGTAGTAGTAGTAGTAGTAGTAGTAGTAGTAGTAGTAGTAGTAGTAGTAGTAGTAGTAGTAGTAGTAGTAGTAGTAGTAGTAGTAGTAGTAGTAGTAGTAGTAGTAGTAGTAGTAGTAGTAGTAGTAGTAGTAGTAGTAGTAGTAGTAGTAGTAGTAGTAGTAGTAGTAGTAGTAGTAGTAGTAGTAGTAGTAGTAGTAGTAGTAGTAGTAGTAGTAGTAGTAGTAGTAGTAGTAGTAGTAGTAGTAGTAGTAGTAGTAGTAGTAGTAGTAGTAGTAGTAGTAGTAGTAGTAGTAGTAGTAGTAGTAGTAGTAGTAGTAGTAGTAGTAGTAGTAGTAGTAGTAGTAGTAGTAGTAGTAGTAGTAGTAGTAGTAGTAGTAGTAGTAGTAGTAGTAGTAGTAGTAGTAGTAGTAGTAGTAGTAGTAGTAGTAGTAGTAGTAGTAGTAGTAGTAGTAGTAGTAGTAGTAGTAGTAGTAGTAGTAGTAGTAGTAGTAGTAGTAGTAGTAGTAGTAGTAGTAGTAGTAGTAGTAGTAGTAGTAGTAGTAGTAGTAGTAGTAGTAGTAGTAGTAGTAGTAGTAGTAGTAGTAGTAGTAGTAGTAGTAGTAGTAGTAGTAGTAGTAGTAGTAGTAGTAGTAGTAGTAGTAGTAGTAGTAGTAGTAGTAGTAGTAGTAGTAGTAGTAGTAGTAGTAGTAGTAGTAGTAGTAGTAGTAGTAGTAGTAGTAGTAGTAGTAGTAGTAGTAGTAGTAGTAGTAGTAGTAGTAGTAGTAGTAGTAGTAGTAGTAGTAGTAGTAGTAGTAGTAGTAGTAGTAGTAGTAGTAGTAGTAGTAGTAGTAGTAGTAGTAGTAGTAGTAGTAGTAGTAGTAGTAGTAGTAGTAGTAGTAGTAGTAGTAGTAGTAGTAGTAGTAGTAGTAGTAGTAGTAGTAGTAGTAGTAGTAGTAGTAGTAGTAGTAGTAGTAGTAGTAGTAGTAGTAGTAGTAGTAGTAGTAGTAGTAGTAGTAGTAGTAGTAGTAGTAGTAGTAGTAGTAGTAGTAGTAGTAGTAGTAGTAGTAGTAGTAGTAGTAGTAGTAGTAGTAGTAGTAGTAGTAGTAGTAGTAGTAGTAGTAGTAGTAGTAGTAGTAGTAGTAGTAGTAGTAGTAGTAGTAGTAGTAGTAGTAGTAGTAGTAGTAGTAGTAGTAGTAGTAGTAGTAGTAGTAGTAGTAGTAGTAGTAGTAGTAGTAGTAGTAGTAGTAGTAGTAGTAGTAGTAGTAGTAGTAGTAGTAGTAGTAGTAGTAGTAGTAGTAGTAGTAGTAGTAGTAGTAGTAGTAGTAGTAGTAGTAGTAGTAGTAGTAGTAGTAGTAGTAGTAGTAGTAGTAGTAGTAGTAGTAGTAGTAGTAGTAGTAGTAGTAGTAGTAGTAGTAGTAGTAGTAGTAGTAGTAGTAGTAGTAGTAGTAGTAGTAGTAGTAGTAGTAGTAGTAGTAGTAGTAGTAGTAGTAGTAGTAGTAGTAGTAGTAGTAGTAGTAGTAGTAGTAGTAGTAGTAGTAGTAGTAGTAGTAGTAGTAGTAGTAGTAGTAGTAGTAGTAGTAGTAGTAGTAGTAGTAGTAGTAGTAGTAGTAGTAGTAGTAGTAGTAGTAGTAGTAGTAGTAGTAGTAGTAGTAGTAGTAGTAGTAGTAGTAGTAGTAGTAGTAGTAGTAGTAGTAGTAGTAGTAGTAGTAGTAGTAGTAGTAGTAGTAGTAGTAGTAGTAGTAGTAGTAGTAGTAGTAGTAGTAGTAGTAGTAGTAGTAGTAGTAGTAGTAGTAGTAGTAGTAGTAGTAGTAGTAGTAGTAGTAGTAGTAGTAGTAGTAGTAGTAGTAGTAGTAGTAGTAGTAGTAGTAGTAGTAGTAGTAGTAGTAGTAGTAGTAGTAGTAGTAGTAGTAGTAGTAGTAGTAGTAGTAGTAGTAGTAGTAGTAGTAGTAGTAGTAGTAGTAGTAGTAGTAGTAGTAGTAGTAGTAGTAGTAGTAGTAGTAGTAGTAGTAGTAGTAGTAGTAGTAGTAGTAGTAGTAGTAGTAGTAGTAGTAGTAGTAGTAGTAGTAGTAGTAGTAGTAGTAGTAGTAGTAGTAGTAGTAGTAGTAGTAGTAGTAGTAGTAGTAGTAGTAGTAGTAGTAGTAGTAGTAGTAGTAGTAGTAGTAGTAGTAGTAGTAGTAGTAGTAGTAGTAGTAGTAGTAGTAGTAGTAGTAGTAGTAGTAGTAGTAGTAGTAGTAGTAGTAGTAGTAGTAGTAGTAGTAGTAGTAGTAGTAGTAGTAGTAGTAGTAGTAGTAGTAGTAGTAGTAGTAGTAGTAGTAGTAGTAGTAGTAGTAGTAGTAGTAGTAGTAGTAGTAGTAGTAGTAGTAGTAGTAGTAGTAGTAGTAGTAGTAGTAGTAGTAGTAGTAGTAGTAGTAGTAGTAGTAGTAGTAGTAGTAGTAGTAGTAGTAGTAGTAGTAGTAGTAGTAGTAGTAGTAGTAGTAGTAGTAGTAGTAGTAGTAGTAGTAGTAGTAGTAGTAGTAGTAGTAGTAGTAGTAGTAGTAGTAGTAGTAGTAGTAGTAGTAGTAGTAGTAGTAGTAGTAGTAGTAGTAGTAGTAGTAGTAGTAGTAGTAGTAGTAGTAGTAGTAGTAGTAGTAGTAGTAGTAGTAGTAGTAGTAGTAGTAGTAGTAGTAGTAGTAGTAGTAGTAGTAGTAGTAGTAGTAGTAGTAGTAGTAGTAGTAGTAGTAGTAGTAGTAGTAGTAGTAGTAGTAGTAGTAGTAGTAGTAGTAGTAGTAGTAGTAGTAGTAGTAGTAGTAGTAGTAGTAGTAGTAGTAGTAGTAGTAGTAGTAGTAGTAGTAGTAGTAGTAGTAGTAGTAGTAGTAGTAGTAGTAGTAGTAGTAGTAGTAGTAGTAGTAGTAGTAGTAGTAGTAGTAGTAGTAGTAGTAGTAGTAGTAGTAGTAGTAGTAGTAGTAGTAGTAGTAGTAGTAGTAGTAGTAGTAGTAGTAGTAGTAGTAGTAGTAGTAGTAGTAGTAGTAGTAGTAGTAGTAGTAGTAGTAGTAGTAGTAGTAGTAGTAGTAGTCACATCCTTTATTGCTGAACCCACAAATAATTGTGATACAAATTGTAAACCATCCGAGGAAGAAGAGAAAGCCATTAAAAATAAAAAATAAAACAAAAAAGGTTATTGTACCATGCCAAACGGCTATTATTAAGTCATGTACCAATTGTAATACATGACGTAGTATAGTAGTCAAGCACCTACAAAATACTTTGCAGGATAATATTTAAATTGCCTAGCATGCCTACAAATCCGCAGAGCATGCCAATTTTAAATAGGCCAACATATGAATGAATACCGAAGGCGGTTACATGGACAGAAGGCGACATTGGTCGAGAAAAGATGGGCCTATTCTCTTCCTCAAGTAAGACGCTCTGCAACCACGGAGGCACGTGATTGACCACCTCAGCAAAACAAATGCAATTTTGCAGCGTAGCTGTGCCATCACAACAGCGTACTGGAGGTCACTATGCTTGTTAACCACCAGCTGAACAATGTTCTTCAATGCACGAGAGCACTCCGTGCCACATACGCCGTTTGTCGAGAATACGAGCGGAGTGAATGACCCCCTCTCGACATCGACAACACGCTGAAGATAGGCCCGCTTCTTCTGATGTTCATTCCGGGAAATCTGTGCAAGGACTTCCTGTCGCGACAGCAAAGACGCCGAGGGGTGAGTAACCCTCACATCAAAGAATGCATCTTGCTGTGGCGACCAAAAGCCCCTTGCACGGATATCCAATCGAGCCTCTGCAGCACGATTAGCGGTAGCGCCGTGAAGTTGTTCACCATCCAACGGCAAAAGCGGTGGCTCTGTCTGAACATCCGGGATGGCAGAAGTCATCACCTCCACCAGCACATCACGAAGCTCATTGTGTCGCAGACTTGGGTAGCCTCCTGTAGGGCATGTCAATGCATGGTCGACAGACATGTCTCTACCACACACACAAGTTGGTGGGAGGCCATCAATACCCCAGCCATAGCGCAGGGCGAGACCATCCCGGAAACATGCTTTATTTAGCGCAAAGCCGTTCACAGCCAGAGGCTCAGCCGTTAGCCAACTGGACACGCCAGCATCAGCAGCAATCTCCAACAGCACTCGCTGACATGGGCTGAGCTCAGGACGCAAAGCAACCTGAGCCTCCTTAGCCGCAGTAGCCATTCTCCGACGTTCGGCATTTCGCAACGCTATTACCTCCGCCTGCAAATCAGCCGGAGCAATGTCAGCATCAGGGCGACGAAGCAAATCAATCACCGGCCGTGCCGAGGCCATACTGGAGGTCCACTGATGCACTGCATGAGGCCCAATGGCAGGAATTGAGAGACCACCGGACTTAACAGGCAAGCCGATGAGACTCCGCTCAATGGCGGACATGTTCTTCCGACCAGTGATTGCTGGTATCAAACTGTTGTCAATCACATTATCTAGCCTGCCGAAAGCATCCGGCTCCGGCAAGCCATGTGAGCACATAATAATTATGATAGCGCCAGCGCGACCTCAATCCACGGGAGAAAACAGAATATGCAGCATGTGGCTGGGTTTCCGCCAGAGTGGAGAGAGTACCGACCTCCCTGCACCATACGGAAACATGACGACACAGACTCTCCTGTACAAATTCCTCCTCACCAATGGCCCCGCCAAGATAACGAACACCATTGGTCAGCACATGTATACCCGTTGGGTCGAACATCTCTCGGGCTTCTGACTCCAGGGCGGGTTTCACCAGCAGAACTGTCTTGGCTGCATTAGGGTAATATCCATACTTCGGGCCAATCTCCTCGATTGATTTCCAAAACGAATGCACGGCCGCCAATCTGCCACCAGACTCGCCATCATCCGCGTACCAGCATTGGTTCACATCAGGGTGCTGTTCACGGAGTTTACAAATCATAGGAGCCACCGCAAGAGCAAACATGGCCATGGCCAGAGGGTCTCCCTGACAAGTTCCCTCGCGCGAGTACAATACTACGCCACCAGGAAGAAATAGTGGAATATCCGCACCATATGTATTACGACAAATTTTTTCCATCGGTGGACACACACGTGCGATATTATGCAAGGCGGCCTTCCTGTTGATTGCGTTAAAGGCATTAGATGCATCGATGAGTAAGATTGCATCAGTGTCATCGGCGAGATATTGTTCCTGGACGGCACGCACAGCCGCCTCACAAGCCGCCGGCACACCAACACACAGCTGATGAGGGATCACGGCTGTCGCGATATCAGACGATATACACTGCAACACAGCCTTAGCGATGATCCGGCGAGCGACTTCCCCCACCGCAATCGGGCGCACACCTGGTCTCTTGTCCAATGCCACGAGCCGTGCCGCAACAAAAGCCGACAGAGAAGCAGGGTCTATATCCGTCGTGCATATCCTCTTGGCAGCAGCAGCAAGAGCGGCAGCCAAATTTGAAGAAGCACCTTTAAAGGCCGAGAGCATACGCTGCCAGGCCTGCACGTCCAGGCCAGACGGACCACCGGATCCCTTCATACTGCCAGCCACCCTCTTAATGCCTGCTGCTGAAATACCTTCAAATATTATGTCATTGACCGGTGCTGCATCATTCTCCAACAAAACGGTTTCAGGTGGCTCCACAGGAGTCGGGTGCTTATCGCGAAGTACATCCAGAACCGTCGCACCAGTGGAAGGTACTGCGATTTCATTTGGCTTGAGAGGTCTACCACCACCACCCTGGGATAAACCCGCCATGGCACGATGTAAGTTGCCACGGTGAACGAGATTCGCAAACACTGTATCCGACATAACAGTAGTAGTAGTAGTAGTAGTAGTAGTAGTAGTAGTAGTAGTAGTAGTAGTAGTAGTAGTAGTAGTAGTAGTAGTAGTAGTAGTAGTAGTAGTAGTAGTAGTAGTAGTAGTAGTAGTAGTAGTAGTAGTAGTAGTAGTAGTAGT